ACACACACACACGCATCAGATGTCTCTTACAGGAGATACAATGGCATGTGTGTGTGTATTGGGGTACATGTGTTTCAGTCCAGCTTTAACTGACATGAACTCTTGCACACACATAAATACGCAGTCAGCATGCACAGACACATGACGTCTGGTGGCATCATGACAGTTCAGCAGTTTTCAGACCGAAGACCAACTGAACATATTTAATGGTCTCTTATGTCACGTCGAGATCTTCCTTGCTTTTATAGTCTTTTGTACTGCAAGCGGTTGTTATGGATACAGCATCAGCATTTCTCTGTCGTCATGGAAACCAATGAATATAGCATCATGTGTACATGTAAGCCCTGAGGTGGACTCATCCTCACGACCCCACAGAGGACACACGGCGTGGAGAATTCATGATTTCTCTGAGAGTTGAACCCATGACCTTGGAATTGCAAGCAGCACACGTTACAGTCTTAAAACACATCAGGATTTCAGCTCCGTGTGTGTTAAGATCATGTCTTATAAAACTTTAACGTCTCTGAAGCTAATATTGCATTACAATACTCACAATACTGATTTAAATTGTTATGAACATTGTGTTCATTAAAAATAGTTGAATATATTTCTGGACATATATTCCCACACTGGGCTTTGTGAGTTGATAAAGCTAATAAAACTAAATACACTTTCAAATAAAAATAACCCAAATAAAATACTAACAGTTGCAAATAAATATTTTATTTGTTTCCCTGCATGTCATAATTAACATTAGAAAACAGTGAATATGCAAATATGTTTTTCCAAGTTAAATTAGCTTAAAATTAGAGGAACTTCAAGTAAATATTTTAGATCAAAGAGGTTCGGCTGATAAAAAAGTTTGGGGAAAACAATTAATAATCTTAGAGTAATAGTTCATTTAAAAATGTTATTCTATCATCATTTGTTCAGCGACACGTCATTCCAAACCTGTGTGACTTTCTTCAGTGGGACACAAAAAGTGATTTATTTATTTTTTTATTTTTTAAAGAGCGTCTTGGCCACTGCTCTCCAAATAATGAAAACGAAAGAGGACTGAATCATCAAGCTCTAAAATGACTCCAGACAGATGCATTTCCATCATCACCGATGTCCTGCATTCACTAAGAGCAAGCTGAAGCAGTTCAGACTACAAGCAGAAGCAGGAGTGAAATGCAGAAAAGAGACTACATTTTTTTGACGAGGGTTGTAATAGTAAGTGCCTTGGTTCAATGCTTGTGGAAAAGCTGCTTCTTGAAAGCTGTGAAGTCAGCATCAACACTTTAAATCTGAAGCCAGTGGAGTGAGTTTGAAATGGGCATGATGTGAGTCCATGTTGGCTAATTCGGGATCATCTGCAGAGGTATCAGCTCAGGCTTCACGCCACATCATAATTACCGTAATTTCGATATAACGGGACGTTCTGCACGGAGTTGTCCATGTCCTTAGACTCGGCGTTTCTATGGCAACACCATCATCGCCAAAAGCGTTCACATGCTCGCGGAACTCAAAATAACAACTTGAAAGCTGGGAATGTTCTGAGAGCCACAGATTCATTTAGGCGCTACTTAGCCATTGATGGTGCCATAGAAACACATCATTCAGAGTCTGAGGACGTGGACGGCTCAGAGTAGAACGTCACGTGTTATCTCAAAACTACAGTAATTATGACATGGTATGAACACAGCTTTAGTAGTTGTGCTAGTTGGCTAATTCAGCATTGCAGTAGTCCAGTCTTGAAATCAACAAGGAGCTGAACTGCATATTCTGATAGGAAGCCCATGTACCTTATGATCATGCACCAGTGGGGCTGTGTTTATGGAGAACAGGAGGGGACCAAACATTGAGCCTTGAGGCACCCCATGTGACTCAGACATTCCTCTTCTTCAGCAGATCTGCATGTGAGCAGAACATCATGATAACAGCCAAAGCAGAAGCAATGCCATTCTTTGTTTATGGTCCATTTGAAAGTGTTTCTGTGAAGAGACTCCTGATTCCTTACTTTCCTCAAACTTCACTCTACACTCTCAGATGAATGACATGCAGTCACAGGACAGCCCAAACATCACATCACATCTGTCATCCACACCATCTGTGATGAACCCAGCGTAATGACAGCTCTGATGTCATTAAACATATGTTCAAAAACTGCACAGGAAACATCTTCAGCTGGAAAGTCATGACCTTCATCAGTCTCATTAACATCAGCACTGTAAAATCAGGTTCAAGTTACATATGAGAGCAAGTTCAGAAGTTAGGCGGTGTTTAAATCTTTATTAACTATACTAATTAACTAGAATTAGAATATAGTGTAGCTCACCCATGTTCCCAATAGTGATGTTTGTTGTCCAAGTCTTGAGTTTTACATGAAATCTTCGAGATAATTTGTTCTTCCATGTAATCCAAGAGCTCATGAACAGCACATTTCACATCTGGAATGACAATATGGACAACACACAGCATTTATTACAGGAGTAAACAAACAAAATACATAACATGATTAAACACCCCACAATTAAAAAAAAAATGTATATATATCAGCGATTTCCACAAAAGGCCACGAGGTGATGGACAATGAACTGGAGGATATTAAGGAAAACGATGGACAGCCCATGCGTCATGCTTCTACAGACGAACGTTTGGTTACTGTGATTACATTATGAACAGGAAGCCTGAATGATTTTGCTGAAAAAATTATTTTTTTTTAAATAGGAATCTGTTTGACAGCTCATCATATATACACACATATATAATAAACATACATATAAAATCACAAACAAACAGGAGTCTGGCATGACACATGAAAGCCACTGTGATCTGAAGGGTTATGATCCACGGGCCACAAACAGCAGATGACACGCAGATCTCTGCTGGTGTCAAATCCACTACAATATCAAACATTATACCGTAATATCAAACATCCCCATTGTGGACAGAGACGTCCAAAAGATCTTTATCAGCTCATTCTCAACACAAACAAACAACGACAGGTCCAGTCAGAGGTGTGTTCGTGACGTGTGTCGCACAGGACAGGCCGATGAAGGCAAACGCACAAACCCTCTGCAGGTCTACCAGCCGCTGTTGTCCCAAGAGTCCTCAGATGCTTTCGACGGGCTCTTCTTGTCCCTGTCTTCTCCAGCTTTCTCCCAGTCATTGCCCCAGGTGTCCCAGCTCTCTGCAGCACTATTCTTGTTGTTGACCTGAGCTTCTGAGCTCCAGCTCTTCTCTACAGAGTTGCCGCTGGGAGCAGAGTTACTACCGAAGGTTTCCCAGAAGTCATGCTTAGGACCCTGGTTCTGATATCCTTATTCGTAAGCAGAACTGAAAATAAAATCAGCAAAGCAAACAACCATGACTTTTTTTTTTGCATAAAATTCTTTCAGAAATCTGAACATCACAATCCCACAGAAACAACATCCACATTACTAGAAGAGCACCAAGGACTCGTTAGTTTGATTGTGCTGAAGTCAACATGTGACATTTCAGAGTAAAACAGGATATTTATCTGGGAAAAAACAAAATGCTGGTGACCTGACTGCATGGAAAATGATTCTTTACGTCAAATACAGTAAATACATATTGCAGATACTATACATGCAGTATATGCTGCATTTATTTGATCACAGTAAGAACAGTAATATTGTGAAATATTACAATTTCAAACAGCTGTGTTCTATGTGAATCTCTGTTAAACTGTAATGTATTTCTGTGATGCGCAGCTGTATTTTCAGCATCATTCCTCCAGTCTTCAGTGTCACATGATCTTCAGAAATCAGTATAATATGCTGATCTGCTGCTCAAGAAACATTTCTGATTATTATCAATGTT